TATTACAATAACCTTAGGTCAGAATTTAACTCCTCCAAAGCACCTGGGAAGATGAATTTTTTAAAAAACATCAGGTTGCATTCTCATCTATGTCCATTTGCCCAGGTATGCGAGGAGTCTGCAGAACTGGCCTGTGACACATAGCTAGATTATTTCCTTTTTTAAAAAAATATTATTTATTTTTTATTTTATGTGTATGAGTGTATTGTCTGCACATAGGTTAAGTGCACCCGTGTTGTGCAGTGTCCGCAGAGATCAGAAGAGACTGTTGGATCCCCTGGGACTGGAGTTACAGAGAGTTGTTAGCTGCCATGTGGGTGTTGGGAATTGAAACCGGGTCTTCTTCAAGAACAACCAGTGTTCTTAACCGCTGAACTATATCTCCAGCCCAGATGATTTTCTTTTTAATTATTATTTATTTATTTATTTATTTAATGTGTATCAATGCCTTGCCTGCATGTAGGCTAATGTGGAACTGGAACTGGACTTACAGATGGTTATTAGCTGCAACATGGGTGCTGGTAACTGAGCCCACGTCTTCTGAAAGAGCAGTCAGTACTCTTAACCACTGAGCCATCTCTTTAACCCCATTACTACATTATTTTGAATGGGAACACCCTAAAGTGAATTGATAAAAGTACTTGGTTTCAAGAGTGGATCTTGGTTTCTCTAAATATATTTTTTTTAATTTTTAAAAATGATTTATTTAATAACAACATACTTAGAAGAAGCATATCATTACAACACAATTGACATATTCAATAACGTTTTCCTGAGGTAGGATGCATCTCTTTCAGATTTGGCTGTAAATTTTTAGGTTTACAGTTGAATTATTACAGTTATCATCTCCTTCTTGCTTAAATTAAAAACTCATACCTTGCTAGTACAGTTATGACTCAGGAGATTATGCTGGGAGGAATAGAAGCGTGCAACCACGTTGTGACTTTCAGAGATTTACTACTAACAAATAGCCCTTGGTGCAAAATACCCTACACACACACACTCACTCACTCACTCAATACTTAGTTATTCTAAAAAACAAGCAGAAGTGCCTTCTTATCTACTTTATAAAATCATAGAAATAGATTCCTCCCCTCTCTCACTGACTTTAAGCTGCTTTTGCTCAGTTCTCTGCATGGTACTCAAGTACAGCCATGAGTTACCATCATTCCCTGTATCTCTGCTGTTGGCTTGGGCTGTATGTCTCTATTTCCCACTCCCCCACTCCTTCTTTCTCATTATGAAGCACTTAAATCACAGTAGACCTCAAATGGCACAGTAAAAAATCTTGAGCTTCCACAAGACTTTCTGATAACGTAAAATGAAATGAGACCCATGGAATCCGACCTTCTTCGTTACCTGATCTGAATTTCACCTCACTCAATTTCTAAAACATTTACTTGTGTTGTATTATAAGTGCCCTGTCAACTTTAATGGCAGGATTTCTGTGCCTTATGATATTTTCTACAGAACATATATCTTACCCAAGTATTGAATGGGCCTACAGGGATCATTTGAAATTTAGTACCTTTGGAAAACCTACACTTTAATATTAGTCCATCTATAATTATACTAGAACACCTTAATTTTCATGACTTCCTACAGAACTGCACAGCATTTAAGAAGACGCTATTTCTCTTGAGATATGATAATATCGAGATTTAGAAGGTCACACAGCATCGTTTAAAAAATTAATTCCTCCTTAAAATAAGAAAATAAAATTCTTTTTTATCCCCAGTTCTTTCAAATTACTTTATAATCACAAAGTGAAACAGAACAGAACAAAACAGAACATGTCATCATTCTCTGAAGTTAACCTACCTCAGGGGTAAAAAGAAACAACTTTACAAAAACACACAGACACTAACAAGTTTTGATAGGAACTCAAGTCTACGTAGTCCAACCAAAATGGCACATAAGCTGGTGATAGCTAAACGCCAAAGATTTGAGAATACAGACAATTGGCAGAGTTTCGATCAAAATACTAGAGACAATATTCTGATGTAGTCTAGATTGTGATTTTAGGAATGAAATGTTATGAAATAAAATTGCTTTAGAAGCGCATGTGAACCAGCAGGCTACCTGGTCTCATAGACTGTATGACTGAGCTCATCTGTTTGTTTCATTTTTAGGGTATCGTTTGTCAATATATTTTAGAACATAGAATCTCTGTTCTCCATTAACAGGTAGTTGATCGGCAGCAATAGGATATAGATTCCAATTTGCTACATCAGTTCTTCCCTTCATATTCATAAGCGAACAAGGGTTTCAAGGCTACATCTATACAGATCATGAAAAAGACCAACAACAACCCTTCCCCATCCAGAAGTGCTCTGTCTCTGTGGCAGAATCTATCAGAGCTTTTCTTCCAACTCTCACTTTACAGGAAAAAACTCTCAATTAAAAAATGTTTTTTAAAATGATCAGTGGTCACTAAATATATAGAAGTTTTAAAATACTATAATTTTTAAAAGGCAATCTCAGGAAGCAAACACTAGATGGGTATTTTCAACTCATTGGATAACTGAACAGAATTTCATCAGATCAGGTAGCTGCCTCTATTGCTGGAACAACCAAAAACTAACAGGAATGTGGAGCTGAAATCAATTTCAGTCTACTTAGATGGATTCACTTTAACCTGAACTTTACAGTTATCTGTGTACTCTGTGGATAAGTAACCAAATGTAAACGTTATTAAAGATTAAGGATATAAACACTTGTTGCCAGTAAGTCTGAATGATAAAAAGATTCAAATGAAATACGCTGGAATGCAAAGAGTTTTTAGATTTAAATTTTCTTAATTCTATGTGGAACTGTGTCATGCAGCCATTCAAATGGCATGGGAGAATAATCATTTTGCATACAATATACTATTTCCTCTAAAAAGGTACATGCCACCACTCAAGGCAATTTTGTTCCGGTTTCCTTTATGTAGGTGTGAAAAAAGAACAGATGTTTTTCCAAAATTATTTAAGCTTGGAAGACATTTTATCATTTTCTTCAATATAATCTTTCAGCACTAAAAAAAAAACAAAAAAAAAATAAAACAAAAAAACACCATGGCAATACCTTAGCAATTGAGTCCTTTAAAATACAAGTTATTAAATAAGACACAGGATGCAAAACACTGCTCAACAGATAGAATGTTTGTTGTAAGAGGATGCATAAATTATTTGCCATTCTAATTTCATTTTCCACCATAGACTTAAAAAAGCACAAGTACTCTATGTAAAACACTAAGGGTTGTGTAAATGTACCACACTGTACAGTCCATTCCCTGCTGCCCGGATTCCTTTAGACCGGAAAGAGCACCTTGAACTGGAGTTATCAGCTGAACTGATCATGCTACATTATAAAACCTATTAATATGGTCGTTTTTATAAAAGCAGTTTCTTCTTGGTTACTCCAAAGTCCTGAAAATACTAAAATTAGAACTTAAAAGGCAAAGAGCTGTCTTTGAGTTATTTTTTCATCAAGCAAAACTTGGCCCAGGAGAGATGGCTGTGTACCTCATTAGCTAAAACAGGCAAGCATGCCAGGGACTACAAATTAATTTACTACAGAAAGTTCTGGGGTGTTCAGATCTCTCAGGTTTCTAAGACTAGTTGAAGTCTGTTGGTCTATTAGGGCAACTTGGTATGGCTAGAATCTCAGGGACACTAATCCTTGTCATCTCTCCCACTCCACAGAACTCAAACTCCTTCTTCAGCTACTTTAGCCTGCAGCTACTTTAGCCAGTGTTTCAGGGGAACCAACATGCACAGGTTCAACCCATATGTTGTCAGAAGTATGTGCAGCGCATACTCTCGTACCCCTTCCCATCCAGTAAATATAAGTGGAGATAGCCAAGCTTCACTCTCCTATTAACTCACTGTGTTTACGAAGTAAAGAGTTCCCAAAGACCTTCTGTTATTATGTAACATGTGTCATCCAGTCTATGTGATGTAGTTAAGAGCAGAATAGCAAAATCCTTTGCTTTATCAATTATGTCATAATCTATTAATTAAAATGCCACTCAGATGGGTGCTCTGGTCCTGTGAGCCTCCTGTCTCTGCTGCTCACTCTCCACAGACTCTGAGTTGAGTGTTGTGTAACAAGTTTCATTCAGTGTTCCCAACCAAGTTATGAAGCTACTGACATCAAAACTACCCTGTTTTCTAATATGCTAGAACAGCAGCAGAGTGGTACTCCAGATGGCCAGGAGTAAGGCACAGGATAGACCGCACTGGACATAACCTGTGCTTATCTGCACTGACTCTGAGAAGATGCAAACCCCCTTCCCTCAGGAGATGGAGCTGTTCATTACTGATCATATGAAAATTCCTTTAGGAAAAGAAGCAATAGTCTCCCTCAGATGTTATAAAAACATTTTTGTAGAAAAAATCAACAGACTAGGCTTCCATTTATGGACTATAAATGTCATCCAACACAGGAAATAAAAAATTCTTCCCTTTTATATGCATATTGACTTGTTTTTTTGCACTTTGATGGTGACAGAACATCAGGTTGAAAGGTACCAGCGTGAAGCGCCGGCATGTAGAAAAATCCAGGAGAGCCACAGAGCAGGAAAAGTCAGGGTGATATCAACGCATTTCATTTCTGTGTGATGAGCCTGCATTTAGGATTTTCCGGCTGGCCAGGTTGGCTGGGGCTTTGGGGAGAGACTGGGGTTTTGATTCCTCCCTTCAACCGTCACTCACACCAGCAGACACACACCTGAGGTGCGTCCAAACTATGTACAGTAGGTGGCATATGTGGATGTATATGTAGATGTTTAGAAAATACCTTGACATCTGACAAAGACACGAAGGCAACGGATGTGCAGGGAGTCTGGCTCTGAGAAACGTGCACAGCCCCTCAAGAAGTACCGTGAAAATGAGACATTTCTGAGGATGAGCACAGACACAGCAAGCGGGAGGGGCGGGGGCCGACAGACAATACAGAGACCCGCAGCTCCCCACCGCCAGGGCGCCACATGGACCCGGCGAAACCCTGCTTACTGTGGGCTCTTGGGGTAGAAGGGCAGGGTCACATGGCTGAGGTCCTGGATGTCGAAGGCAGTGGGCTCCGCGGAGATCGCCTGCCGCTTGGTGCGCGGTTCTCCCTGCAAGGTGCTGGCGCTCTGCTTCTGCGCCTGCTGTGTGGCCGGTCGGATCACCGAGCGGTACTTGTCCAGCTCGTTCTGCAGCTTCTGGATCAGTTCGTCCTTCTGATCCAACTCCAGCTCCAGCTCATCGATGAGAGCATCCCGCTGCCTCAGCTCCTCGATCTTCTCCTGGAGCGCGTACTGTAAATCCCGCAGGGTGCCCATGCTCCTCCGGGCTGCCGGGGCTCCTTCGGGCCGCTGCTCCTCGTCTCGGGGCTTCCTCCCCTCTCGGATCAACTTTCGCTAAAGTCGCCGCTGCCTCGCGAGTGCAAAAGCTTCCTCCTACTTGAGACCAAAGCCAACCCTGGCTTCTGAGCATGCCCAGTCCGCCGCTTCAGCCCCGGAGAGTTTCAGTGTGCAGATTCCACTTCTCTGGGTTTAGGGATGAGCAAAACAGGTCCAACCCGGGATTAACCTGAAACGCGGTGTGCGCCGCGGCGCGGGGAGCAGAGCCACAGGCGCAGTGACCCGCGGCGGGAGGAGGGGACTGGGCTGGAGGCAGCGGATGGTCGGCCAGGGTCACCAGCGCCGGGCGCCTCAGGAAGCACGAGATGTGTGTGGGGAGCCTGATAAAGCTGGGGGTGCGCAGGCGGAGCGAGGCTGGAGCGCTACTTTGGAGGTGGAGAGGTGGGAGTGAGAGGACCGGAGAGAATTGAAAAGGCATCAGCGGGCTCCCCAGCAAAGCCGCCTTGAGGATGTGGGGCTAGGATCCTGGTGACATGGGAAGACAGAGCAGACTGTGCATCCTCACAGCTCTGACTTCTGGAGGTGTTTTGACCACAGCATCACCGAGGAATGCTCCTGGGCGGTGTGCTGAGCTCGGGCTTCTTCCATGCCACCTTCCCTGTGGGGAGCGCCTCACACAGGTGTCTAAGGCTTGCAAAGAAACTTGCCTCTGTGGAGGTGAGAGCTAAAGTGCTTTGGAGGGATTCCCTGGGTGTCCAGGTGCATTTGAGGAAGGTTTGGGGCGGGGATCTGATTTCACCCCCTACCCAGGCCTTCCCACTCTGCTTCTCCCCCTTTTCTGCTCCTGCGGAACTCAGATCAATGACTTTTTCTTAGCGCAAAGGCCAAAATCCCAAATGAATTTGGGCCCCAGAAGGCATTTGCGATGCTGTTTTGTCCCTCCCACTTGAGAAGGGATCAGCTGAGGAATGGTTCTCTGGGGCCTTGCTTCTTCCAAAATATTTGCCTAATTCTTATATAAATGACTAAGGTTAACTAAACCTTCACCAATTTGTCCAATTTTGCAGCTTTTTTATGAGGAGCCTTTTGATTACTCTCCTTCCACACTCAGTATTACAATTCTCACCCTCAGTATTACAATTCTCAATGTTCTACCTGTCCACCCTTTAACACAAAAACAAAGCAGGTAAAAATACATTGAAAATAAATTGCAATACACAACTCTTCACTGAATTCCCAACCGGGGACATAAATTTGTCTCAAAAAAAAGTAACTCACTTTTCCTCTTAAATACACAGCTTTTTATATTTGCTAAGGAAAGAATCGGCCAGCTTGCCACTGGCCCAGAAGCAAGGTTTTAAAAATATGCTCCTTCAAAAATACAGGGGCAAATGACGAAGAATTTGCAATCCTAAATATTTCCCACAAGGACTGTGATCTAACTCTCCTAGTACAGATGACTTAATTTGTCTGCTTGCAACAAGAAAAGTTAGGGAAGTGCATTTATTTTAGAATGTACTTACTATAAAAAATGTACAAGTCCTGAAATGTTTTCAATTCGCAGCAGTAAATAAAAGTTCTGATTTACTGTTTTTTTTAATTATCAGTGATCCATGCAGAAGTACTATGGCTTTTGTATAACTGACTACATCCTAGAACAGCTTCCTTTGGGGACAAGTTCCATCTCCTAGGCAAAGAGCCAAATTTTACTTAACCTGTGGGAATTCTTTACTTCCCTGGGAAAATATTTAACACTAAATGGTCTTTTTCTTATCCATCTATCATTGGAGTCCTCAAAGCCAGGAGTTTATATCTAAGAATGTATCAGAAGCAATGTCAGAGACCTATTTGGACAACTGCTAATTAGGATTTTAATTTTCAATTCATGAGACTCACTTGAGGCTTAAGTGAGTTTGCTTAGTAGCGCCAGCTGAACAAAGTAGAGACAACATTGCCTCACTTTTAGAAAGCATGTTTAGAAGGGTGAGAGAAAGGGGTAAGCAAATTGTTCCCCACCACCCAAAAAATTATTTTTAAAAGCAAAACTTCAACCATAAGTATTCAGGATTTTTATCAAAGTGAGTTTTTTTTAAATACTAAAATAGATACTTTACTTCAGTGAGAGAAACTATACACAAACTATAACATGCAAACATGTCACATCTTCATTTTAAATAAATTTCTCAAAATTCAAAATTTTCTCCATGATAAATCTGACTTTGAAAATCAAAAATCCATTAAAACGAACTCAAAGAAAGTGAATGGTTGAAAAGACATGACCATTACAAATGAATTACACTTTGAGCCAGGTGTGGTGGTGCACACCTTTAATCCCAGCACTTGGAAGGTAGAGGCAGGCAGATCTCTGTGAGTTCAAGGCCATCCTGGTCTATACAGTGAGTTCCAGGCCAGCTGGGGCTACAGGGAGACCCTGTCTCAAAAAGACCAAAAACCCCACAATACTTAGATATATTTCATTCACTAACTGTGGTTATTTTGATATATCACAGTGAAAGATTTATCGTCCTCTTTTTTTTTTTTTTTTTTTTTTAAAAAAAAAAAAAAAAAAAAAAAAAAAAAAAAGGCTTACACTTTGAAAGGTTCCAAATATGTTGTCATGCTAGTCTATATTATGAAAAATATCTATTATATGAATTTCTCCTAAAAGTTTTATACTTTTATACAAAATTAAGAATTCATGGCTTTTCTTTTCAATTCATAAAGTCAAAATAAATACCCTTTGTACATTCATTTATTCATTTATACTTATACCATGGGCATCCCTGGAAGTCAAAGGATAACTTGCAGAATTCATTTCTCTCCTTTTGCTGTGTGGATCCTGTGGACTTAACTAAGATCATCCAACTTCACAGCAAGTACCTTTTACCCACTGAGCTACTCACTGACTCCAAGATAAATGTTTTAAATATGTTTTTTTCAACCATTTTTCTGATTGTCTGTTTAGAGTGTAAGAGACAAAGTTCCCATCTCTATGAGCAACCCTTACATGTTTGAGTATATTTTGCATGGTATTTGGCTGATGCTAGAAATAAATATTATATGAAAAATCAAAGTCCTGAAATTGCCTCTGAACTGACAAACTGTTTTTATTCAGCCTCCACAGTGAACTTTTGTAAAAGATTTATTTCTTTTAGTGTGTACGTGTGTGTGTGTGTGTGTGTGTGTGTGTGTGTGTGCAGGCTCCAAAGCCAGAGGAGGTTGTCAGAGCCCCCTGGAGCTGGTGTTACAGGTGGTTGTGAGCTGCCTGACATGGGTGCTGGGAACCCAAGATGGGAACCAAATGCAGATCTGGAAAAGCAGTACACACTTCTAACTGCTGAACCATCTCTCCAGATCCATTCACAGTAAACTTACTTCATTGAATTAATGTAGAATTTCAAAGTCAAATTTACTTTTTTCCTCATTAGGATGTGCTTACCACAGATCTGGAATGGAATGGAGTTGAATGGCATTGAATGCCTAGCTCAGAAGAGACTTTGACACCAAATGATAACGTTTAGAATAATGCACTGTTGAAAGAACTGAGCTCATACCCTAGGATTCCATAGTCAGTTCACAAGCTGCTTTCAGCAGTCTCCCTTGCTCATATCCTTAGTAAGAGCAAAGTTTCACTGGTAGCCAGACCACCCTGGTACATCAAACTCAATGTGCTCCAAATTTGCAGCCAGGCCTCATAATTAAGGATAAATATTACCATGCCTTCCTTACTTCAGTCTCTGAATCACTTAATGAAATACTCAATGAAGTAGTTTTATTACAATACTGGTTATTTTTAAAAATAAAGTATGTTAGAATCTTTCACTCACAGCATAATTAATCTCAGAAGAACCGTGACAATTTTATTATACACTTGTCCACTCCACTGATGCTGCATTTCCTGAAAGAAGATTGAACTTGAAATGTGTTTCTACCATTTGTGTGCATACATCATAAGCAGGGAAAATAGATGAAAGTGTAGCTGAGCCATTTTAGAGACAGAAGCCATGCCTTACAGGAGGTTACTAAGATAACCCATAAGTTGGCTACATTATTATTTATATTATTTTATTAACAATGTCTGAGAAGTCAAAGGTACAGAATCACCATATAATGGATGGAAATGTCTGCATTCAAAGTCATATTATTTTATGTGGGACTCAAATGATCCTGCCCCTCACTGTGGTAGATAGGACTTCTAAGTGTGACTGTTGTCTTTTGTTCTGGATCAAAAGAAAAAAGAATGTCACTAACATGAACTACCTTGACTGAGGAGAAATTTGGGAAATCCTTAAAGGGCAAGATTATGATATTTTAAAGTTCTTTTCTCCCCAAACCTAGCTTAACTCCAGCACCATTTCACCTTGGTTTAAGGCAACCAACTCATAACCATTTGCCTCAGATTGACCTCCTTGTAATATAAAATTGATCAGAATTGTCCCAGTTTTATAACTAAGAGTCCTAAGTAATTCTCAGTTATGACCAAACAAGGATAGTTGATCAACCTATTTAACTCAGGACTACTGAACCACTCTAATAAACATTTTAAAAATTTGATCCCAAAGTTACTGATAATAAAGTAAAACCCAGAAAAAAATGTAAATCATAATATCCACAATTTTAGTCACATTACAAACCCATTTATACATTTGTATATATGAAGATGTTTCAGAAAAGCAATCATCTTATCTCAACGCATAATAACACAACAGAATTTTTTGGACTGTAAATTGGTAAATTAGACAAGGAACTCTCTTTAGTTTATTGCTTTGGAAGAAACAAATATTACACTGGTTTCCTGTGAATTAGGCACAGTGATTGGAGCACTTACTATTTTATTCACTCAAAATTAGATTAGTCTTACGATTGCATTTGGAGAGGGATATTTGGTCAGAAAGAATCAACAATTTAGTGGATACAAGCAACAACCCTAATAATTTATCTTTTTTGAAGTCATGTTACTTCAAATGATGGGTTCTGCATGGAAAAGAAAAAACATTAATGATGAAAAACTTACTGCAGAGACTTGGAAAGTAATAGTGCATTGTACTGCAATTGGTAATGTGCTTAGCATTTAATACTGAATTAGTGTCATGCCTAATATTAGTTGAAATGAATTCTCATATTCCATGGCTCAAAATTGTGGTATGTTATTATTAGACCTTAGGCTAAGCTGGTCTTTATGAAAATCCATGCACTTACCAAATGAACATTACTTTGTACTCATTAGTAAGCTGCCTATTTCCAATGGTGGAGAAATAAGAACTTTTTAAGAAGAAACATGTATTTTTAACAAATATAAACATTTTAAATGTATAAAATATAATTTAAAACACTGTATTAAGC